TGCTCTCAGATCTGATGCTTCAGTGGCCCTACTGCAGCTGAGCAGTAAGAACTCCACCGTGCATTTATGAACTGATATTTCTAAGTAATTTGTACTGTGAGCAGGATTTTGAATGAGTTTTAACAAAGTGGCTAAAAAAAAAAAAAAATCCTGCTGTCAGATGTGCCAGATGTCAGCTCCTCATTGCAACACATGGAGCTTCTTGACAAAAAAAAAGTTGCAGAAATATTTTTAAGATGCCTAAAACGGCAACATGTTGTTCAGCAAAATCACTTTTTCTGAAGCTTTTCACTCCAGGTCACATGCTACTTTGGGAAAGGAAAGTCTGAAAAAGTTACAGGCACCTGAAATTTCTGAAGAATTTTTTTCTGAAGAAATAATTTGGGGTACCTGTGCCTATGTTACCTTCTAGTCTAAAAATCACCTCGTCCTTTCCTCTTCTCTTGCATCCAACCCCAGACAGTCATGTTTCTAGGTAGACACTGTGGCTAGTGTACAATGCTATAAGCATACTGAAATGACTAATATGAAAGGGCTGAGTAAAAGGCCTTTAAAAATAAACCAAAGATAAATCATTACTTAAGAATTACTGTTTTGTTTGCTTGTCATTAGACATCTGTTCATAGACACTGCAGATGTTCCACTGTTTGTCTGGGTTTAATCGTAACAACTTTGCAAAGGTGCCTTCTTCTTCCTCATTGTTTTCAATTGGTTTCTAAGGCAAACAATACCTATTTTTTTTCCAGGCCTTTTAATTATTTAAAGCTGCTAAAATGCTAGAACTAAATAACTTCATAGGATGGAAATTTAAATCCAAACCTCAAAATGTACCAAGTGTGTGCAGTACCAGACCTTGCCTTGACCCCTCCCGCTGGTAGCCCCCAGGACCTCCCTGCAAGGTCTGGGTATAATTCAGGTCAGAACTTGACCTGAGACATGTAAAGCTAGCCCTGCCCTTCCTCCCTTCTCCCAGTCATCTGCTCACATTTCTAGACCACAAATAATGTATTGAATCCGAATTGTTTACTTTGCTGGGAATGCCATCTGTGTGTTGGCAGCTGGGGTGGGAGGAAAGGCACACACACTGAACAACAGCGATAAATACAGACTAAATTAGGAGAAGGTCTGCTGCTTTCCAGTGCTCTGCATCTTTGCATGGTTCCATTAAGTGGATACACTTCTTCTTAAACAGATACTGCACATCTGGATTATTCAGCAAGAGAGCAAATTCAAAACATTTGATTGGAGATATCAAATAAGCCAGTCTGGGCAAAATAGTAGGACTACTGAAAAGGCTTGTGTCATTTATGGCTAAATTCACTTTTTAATATCTTACAGTATACTGGAACCAGCAAGGAGAAATAAAGGCAACAGTAAATATTGTCAAAAGAAGTATGTTGTAAGTCATCCAAAATGAAAAATCAGAGAAGATCTGGCACGAATGTTTCTCGTAGGTCAAAGATAATGTCAATAGCCATTTAATTGGCAACTGATTCTGAATTCTAAAGAGGAATTGCTGGCATAACATATGAATTTCCCATTTAAAAAGTCTCACATTTGAACAGTGCACTATATTACAGAAAGGAAAATTCAGTAATTAAAAGCTCATCTTTAAGTATTCAATTCTGTAAATGTGATGGCAGGGAAAAATTTAAAGATTAAAATTTTGCTGATATTTCTTCACTAACAACTTGGCAACAGCAGTAAGTCTACACAGAATCTTAGAATGGCTGGAGTGGGAAAGGACTCTTGGAAATGGTCAAGTCTTACTCCTCTGCTCAAAGCAGGGTCCATGAGGATTGCTCAGCACCATGCCCAGCTGGGTTTTTAATATCTCCAAAGACATGGAAGCCACAGCCATTCTGTTTTCTCACTCTTGGAATTGGTCTAAAGTACATGAAACTTAAGAGCAATCAATAACGAAGTGAGTTCAGTCCTTCAGCAAATTCACAGCTGCAGTACTGAAGTACTAGATGAAAAAAAATGGTTTAATGCCCCTTCATTTACAAAAGTTGGATTTACATTACTAATTTGATTTACCTCAATTTATTTGGTGTAATGCAAAAATGGCAGCTCTTCTGTGTAAGGTTTACCCATCCCGAAGAAAGTACATGGAGACAAGTTAACTTTCATCAGTTTAAGAGAGAGGTCCTCATGCTACCAGGGGGGCTGGCAGTAGACTCTCCCCCAGGTCCTCATTACTGGTGGTGGAATGCTGGCTGGTAGAACGTCTACACTGGGATTACCTCCAACAGATACTGGTGTCTAGCTGACAAGTCCACACAGCCCACTGGTAGCATGGCCATATGTGCAACAACAGGAGACAATCACGTGTTCGGATAAGCAAAGTCACTGGCAGAAAGCAAGGACACACAGTTACTACAGAGCAGATTTTCTCGAGTGAATTTCTTCTAGCTGCATTCCAGAAGCTAGAGGCAGTTCACTTGTGTTCTCATGGGCTAGTCACCTGTTCAGGCCATGGTCAGTATTTTCCCACACATCTGGCAATTCTTATCTTAAATTGACTGGAACAGGTTTCATACTTCAGTTTTCCATCAGCAAGACATAAAGAACAAGAAAGGACACGTCCTATTGGTAAGCATTTTAACAGTTTGGCAGACATTGGTCCACTAGCAAAGGCTATGTAATAAAAAGTGTAAAACTGCATTCACATCTGGTATAACTAGCTTGTCACTGTTATCTCCTCAGATTTCCTAAAATGTGCTGCACTAATGTTTGGTACCTGTTTGGTACAATGTAAGGTAAGACTTTCTCTGTTGTGACAATGCATAGGCTTGAAGATCTTATATTTTCATGTTGGAGTTAAATCTTTCAAAACCATTACCCCAGATCTAGAGATGTCAGGAAAGTGAGGAAGAAGTGTCTCAGTTCAGAAATGGGTCCCTAATGCCCATAGAACTAGTTGAAATGAGAGAAGCATGTCTACAAATGATCAAATCATAAATGGTTAGTTTAAAAACACTCTGCAGTGTTAGAGCAATTTTTTAGTATTTTTATTAGAAATACAGGCCACAAATAGATTTTCATCTATTTTAGAGGCTGAAACTATTCTCCTAAATATATGATATATTGGAGATACTCTAAAGTGATTCACCTAAATCCTGTGGGCCAAGTTTCCAGTCTTAATAGAGAACTTCTCTTCGTTCTCTGCAGCTTACCCTGGTAATTTCTTCCAATTTTATTAATATCTTCTTAGAATTATTCCTTGAAGAAGAACCTTGAACTGCAGATCATCTGCAAGGAAGAGGAACACAATTCTTTACCAGGCACAGTGAGATTCACAGAACAGCACAAAAACAGCATTCAAAAAAGAGATTCAAAAAACAGCACAGAAAAGCATAAGCATATTATTCTGACACATTAAAAATATTGAATTTCATTGCTTTGCATATATTTTAACAGAAAATTTTAGAGTCTTGAGTTAACATCTGAATTCCATTTGAATTAATTTGCCTCAGAAGAACTCAAGTTCTTACCTTGAGATTGTACATCATCCCTGAAATTTTCAAATTATTCAGAAAAATCAATGGCATTTTGATTGTTTAAAGTTACAAAAGAAAATGGGAAAGAAAAACAGGTACTTACACAAACTCTACAATCATCTCAACTCCGTAATTCCAAATTTGCAGCACAAGATCTGTATGGCAAAGCAGGAACAGTATGTTAAATCCTTGTTTGCTTTGTTCCTTGTTTTCTTGGGCATAAAAGCTTTGTTCATCAGTAGTCATACACTTCCATATGTACTGGTGTTTACAGACTTTTTAAAAATAAGTACTATCCCCCAGTTTTGCTGTTAAATAAATATTTTCTCATTCCAAAATGAAGCAATGGTTGAACTGGCTAGCTAGTTTAAGAAGTGAGCAGATTTGGTAACAAAGCAAGTCACTGACATGGCCACAGAGATTTTCGTGGTGGTCTTAATGGACTTTGAAAGTGACATCTCTCCTGGAAGAACCCCTGTTGCGTGGTCCAGTTTCTGTCTCAGTCATCTAGAGTTACTTCCTTCTAATTAAAATACTGTATCTGGTGGTTTACCAGGAGAATAAAACAGAAAATCCCAATTTTTGTTCTGAAGAACAAATGTGTGTTTGACATTTTTGGAGCAGCACTGCTTGCTTCTTACGTAAGTTCTCCTCCTCCACACAATTTTCTCTTCTGAAGGAAAATGAAGCATTTGTTTTTTGTTGTAAAAAGAGATTCTTGAAAGAATCAACAACAAACAAAAGCTATTCTTGCCATTGAAAAGATCTTGGTGACATGTCATTGTTCCAGAAAAAAGCAACAATCTGGATCCATTACTCCATCCATGAGTAGTTTGGATTTTGTGGGAGGAAAGGTGATGGCAGAAAGTAAATGAGTACATCTACAGCTGAATGCCTCAGCCTTCCTGGCTCTGAACTACGTGTCCTAAGTACTGCCCTGTGTGCATTTTCATACAAAGCAGTTACTTGAATTAATGGAATACATCAGAGAAGGATTTGAACTTCCGCTGGTCCCGCCACCACTGATGTGCACATAATTGCTGGGCACAGACAACACAGTCTACTTGTCTCTATTTTCTTCCTTCACGAGTCAGAGAGAATACAATGAGCGAGCAGTAGTCAGAAGTGGTCAGATTAGTAAATGAATAAGCTATTTAGAGTAATGAATAAAGCGTTATTCAAAGTCTGCTATTTAAAATATCCTTTTCCTCAGCTCAGTGAGCCTTGAACTAGACATTACTAGACAGGCTGAATTTACCCCTTCCAGGCTGAATTTACCTTCCAGGCTGAATTTACCCCTTCACAAGGGGTCACTGTTTACAGAAAAAGCAGATCAATACATTGAAAAAGGTGACAGCATGAACGACTGTGAGAAAAGTAGAGAAACAAATTCTGTGGTTCACATGTGTTGCTCTGCTGTGCTCATGGGTGAGCATTCACACGAGCAGAGATGCTTTTATTTTGCCTACTAAAAGTCTCCTGGTTTTTGCTTTCCAGCAAGTGGAGAATCTCCTCCAGACGTAGTCACAGCAGAAGCCTGGGGAGAGTGCACAGCTCGCTGCCTGCAGGAACCACCTTCTTCACAAGGCTTCTGGAAAATAAGCACATTGCTTGGCCAAGTTAGGTCTTCCATGTTGGAAGCTCCACACTAAAGAAATTAGCTAGCACAACGAAAGGTAAGATACCACCATTGTCTGAGAACAACTGAATGACCCTGGAAATGCAAATCCTTGTTTTTACACATATTCATACATGTAAATAAAATCCTGGCCCAGGAATTTTATTCAGCTGAGTAATATCCTTTGACTTCAATAATATTCTATTTTAAATGAGAGAGACTTCAGGTTAGGTTTTGCATTTGAACAGCAGCCTCTGTTTGAGTTCAGGTGAGACTGCTGCGTTGTAAAAACTCATAACTCATGCCAATTTGTCCAGATCAGATTTCACATCTTTTTAATACTCAGCTCCAATAACGCAGAAAGCAACACTGCCAAACTTCATAACTGTTCTCACATTTTGATTAGAAAATTTTCATGAACACCATTTCATATGGGTGTTCTCAACATGCCAGTTGCATCATCTCCTCCGTGCAATTAGTTATACAAACACTGAAAAATAGGTTTATGACCTGGAAGCAGGTTTTGATAAACCCTTCTGAAGAAGTACCTGAAGCCTAGTCCTGGAGAATCTACCAGTGATAGAAATGATTAATGCATGTACAACAGCACAGTCTCCAAACAAGCTAAAGACCTGCCAGGAGCAGCAGTAATTCATTATCTGTTTTAAAGGAAAGACTGCAAAAGAGACCATAATTGAGGATTGAGATGCTGAATTCTTCTGATGGGGAAAGTTACAGAACACATTAATAATGTGGGAGATTTACAATGTCCTGACAGAAATACAGAAGACAGGGAAGACAGAAAGGATCATGGAAAAAAGAATAACAGCCACGAAAATTGCACACTGACAGTGCACCGCTTCCTCCTTATTTACATAATTAATACCTGGTCTTCTGAGCCATGGGTCCACCTTGTTCAATGTTCATGGTCTACATAGCTGTGACAAGAGCACTCATAATACATTTCTTTTGCCCTCCTCTTCCACACAGGCCGCCTGGTGACTGTCCCACCATCTCTGTTGCTCACAGGAAACCACTACTGCTGCACTGGTTCTACTGTGTCTGAGGGCTGTGGCTTCAAATTGCAGTAAGGCTGATAAAATAACCAGCTGCCATGAAAAGAAGTGTGCTCTTGCATGTAATCTCCCTTGTGCTAGCTGTGGTCCCATGGTAAACTGATGCAGGGAGATGGCCATCAATATGCCACCCTCCTCAAAGAAGTAGTTCTCAGTGTGGTGTTGTCTTAGTCAAGCTTGTCATTAAATAGCAGCAAGCACAAGAAACTACTGAGCATTTTTTTCACATGTGGGCTAGAAAAGATTGAGGTTGTTACTATTTTACAAACCAAAAGATCCAAAATACCCAGTATGGTGAGTGCAGCACTGAAAACATCACATTATCCTATTCCTTGGAACCTATTATTGAAAGGCTCATATTGGGAAAAGAAAAAAAAAAAAGAATATAACACAAACCAAAACAGTAGGCTAGGAGCTGGAAAACAAAACCAATTAAATACAAATAGATTATGGACACCTTGTAACACAGAATTCCTGTGCATTGTCATCTGCTGATTATTAGTTTCATTTATTTTGGAATTTGCTTTATTTTCATGTAACTTTTGTGTATCTAAATAATTACAGTTGTATTAGTTTGAATCTAGTCAGTGAGATGAACAGAGGAGCCTATCTCTGTGTCATTCTGGCCAATATTACATTCTATTACATAAGAAGTGGGAATTAAACATAAGAAATGGGAATTAAATCAATTTTAATGCACCATTCTAATAAGAAGACAACTGTAGTTCTAGATTGCAATTATGGAGTTAATTACAATTTCATTGGTACTGCTTAGGATTAAGAATACTAAGTTTACCTTGGGTGAACATTTCATTATCTAGGATGAATCCAAGCTACTTTTCTTCTAAATCATATCTTGGCTTATTTCCTAACTTTGACTGTTTAATAAAAGCATAGAGAATTTTACAGGTAGACTGTATCAAAACAGGCTAGCTGGTTAACTTCAAATTACTGTACAGTGATTTGAGAAAAACATTAATTTTGAAGGAGCTCTGGAGGCTGAGTATAAAGATTATTAAACATAAGTTATATATATGCAGAAAAATTGCTTTTGCATGAATTCACTTTTAAAATGTTAATATATGCATAAGAAAATTGTGTTTCTTAATCTCTGAAGAAACACTTATCACTAGGAACCACTTAATTCTTTTCCTGCGCTTGATTTATTAGCTTATGAAATTATGCTAATAGTTTGCATGCTAATGGTTTTGGGGCTCAAATGACCTGATTTTAATAATGAAGTAATTTATGCAGTAAATGCAATCATCATCCATGAATCTCACTTAAAAGAACGTATCAGTGATTACCTGTGCTAAAACCAAATGCCTGTCAATATGGCACACAGCGTATGCCATGATGGGGAAACGGGATGTGCTCAGCCCAGTACAGCCTTTAGGATGGTTGGGTCCCGTGCTGATGAGCTACAGCAAGGCCTGCAACAACAACTTTCTTAAGAGTTTATGAAGCTTAGTGTCAGCCAACTTCCTTGCATGAACACCTTGGAAGGAGAAAGACGATGGCAGGAAATGGGCAGAACCAGGAATGGAGTCTAACCTGGAGCCAGTTCTACTCTGTGAGTAGGAGACCTCAGTGGCACAAACACCTCACACACCGGGGTGGAAGAGACTGTAGGAAGAAAGTTTGTGTTTGGGTGAGAAGATTTAATCTTCACAAGAAAAGGGGCACTTTTATTAAGGATGTGAGCTGCGTGACATCTTAGAGGTGCAATCCCTTGCAACATCTGGGAAGCCGGTATGTAACAGATCCTTCACAAAGATGCTTTCCTAAAACATCTCTATTTAGAGATCTGCTCACTGCAAGACTGTATTTGAATCTGTCCCCCACGTAATTTATTGTTCTGTTCCCAAGATGAGGAGCAATGCACGACTTCACTCTGAAAAGAATACAGCCGTGGTTTCTTTGCAGTAATGTAAGCTTGTGTTTTGATAACTCGCTGAACATCAATATTCACTTTGGTATAAAAAAAATATATATATATATATATATATATATTCTTAGCTGCCAAAGATAATCTAACAGTTCAAACACCCAGTCAGAAGCTGAGAGAGGTCAGACTGGATGTTATGCAAAATGTACAAAGTGGATAGAAGAACTGGATCATTCCCTCCTCATAGAAACTCCAATGCCTGAAGGCCAGAAGTCCCCTCGTCTTCCAAAGACCGATGTTGAGCAACTGTATTTTGGTTGTTCCAGCCTCCTGTGTCCTCCACAGAACATGGAGACCTCCCTGCATGTTGAGACCAGGACCTATGTGATGCTCACTAAAGAGGCCTTGGTACAAAGGCCCTAAAATCCACTGTGCTGCCTACACATGGCTCCAGAGGGTGATGAGGCTGACCGTCTGTGTCTGGGTATGGGCTGGGCACAGCAACAAGAAACCTGCTGAAAGTATCCCTGCGGAGGCAGACAGGGCTTATTCTGCAATCTGCAATGTCTCAAGCTCCAGAGGAGTTGGGCCGAGCTCCACTGGTATAACAATAAGAACAAACCTGATCAAAGCCTGCGTGTTTGCTTTAGATGTGGATGCCATGCACTCTGTTGCCATAGAGCTGTGACAGCTTAATGAGCCGTCGCCCATCACAGATCAGAACTATTGCGGCTGTGTGCAGGCTCCTGCCCTGCCCCCTCTCTCCTGAGACATGCCAGAGTCCCATAGACGTGTCCTGGCTGCGCTGAGCTGCCTACCAACAAGCCTGGGCATCCTGGCCTGGCCAGGCAGGGTTTCTGAGGTGAGAATTCCCCTCTTTCATTTCCACAAGCTGCACCTGGAGGATGCTCCTCTGTCAGGATGGCCCTGGTAGCAGCGGGGGCTGGAAGGCAGAAGATAGAAGGATGCATTTCAAAGCTCAGACATAGGGGTTTTTTGCAAACTGTAATGACTCAAAGCAGTTAAATATCTACATTTTCCTTGGAAATCTGACTAAATTATTTAGCACTGAAAACCAAGCTTGCAAACACAACTAGCCCAAGCCACAGAGCCCTGAGTGCTGGTGCATGCTTCCCATCGGACACAGACAGAAACGGCAGACAGCCAGCATCAGCATTTCAAAAACAAACAGGAACATCACAGCATGCCCTCTGCCCTCTGCTTGCGAGAATCTCAGCCTCCCTGAGCCAGGACCTGGGGCTCTTATGGTCTCCTGACTATGAGAACAAAGGGAGTGGTGCAGTCACTGCCCTCTGCTCCCTAGGACAAGGGCTGGAGCTGGTGGGCCCAGCCTGCTCTGGCTCTCTTGCATCACATGGACGCCATCTTAGCCCACCTGAAATGGCTGTTAGTGTTAGGGGATGCGTGCCATCTTTGCTGTGCTGTGCACACACTGGCTGAGTGCTTCCTGCAAAGGAGTGAATAGAGATTCATGTTCATTGTGGGGAAGAGAACAAATTGGGAAAGGAAGAGCCAGGGACCCAAAGTTCATCCTTTCCTGATGTAGTTCAGCAGCGAGGCACAAGTATGAGATGTGTATGAGGTGTGTGTCTGTGGGTGCCGGATCGAGGCCAGGAGGGCTATCTGTGATGTTTCACACTGACACTTAAGGCACAGAAAAAGTACTGACACACTAAAAACACAATATGTACTAGTGGCCTAATCTGTCACGTATGCTACTCTTAACACTGAAATGCCAGAAATTAGCTTGGTGGAAGCCATCCTTGTATTTTACATGACAGAAACATGACAGAAACAGAAACATTTTTTGATGATGATTTGAAGTGATCATGTAGTTAATTAGCAGGATTAAATAAGCACAGTCTGTTAGCGCAATCACCTTTCCTACTTCATGCTACTCTTACAATCTTACATTGCCTTTTGATTTAACATTGGATTTTAATACTTCTGGGCAAGGATTTGTTTCCCTGTATATTCATTCCACCTCAAGCAAATAGGCCCACATTCTGATTAATGTCTGCAGTTTCTAAACGCAATCAGCAGTAATATTTATTGGGTTTTTTTGTGTGTGTACCAGAATAACACTCAGAACAATAACAGGATGGAGATGTGATTCTTCAAGCTCACGTACTTCATTCCAAAACCATGCCAGTTCGTGTGGAAGTCAGTGGAAAAGCCTGATCAAATGCACTCTTTCTGATTTAGCATCTCTTTGCTAGATTTATTGATTTATCACAGCTAAAGCCCTTTTATTTCTCTCTCCTCATTTGCTAGGAATGTGAGTACAGGTGAATGTGCACATTTGGTCAGAAAAGTTGCTGTGACTTCAAAATTAGGAGTGAAAAACACCAACTGCAGATTGGGAGGGGAATAAAATATGGTATTTGATATATTCATGGTTTTTAGAAACAAAAAGGAGAAAAAAAAATGCTGGCTTCTAGTATCACCAGAGCCTTTCCTTAGTCTCAACATTCTATATTTTAATACCTGAATTCTCAACAGCCCAGTATTCCCACATTATTGTGCACTCCTTCGTAACTCTGATCCTTCCTGCCTAGGAATGGTTAACTGCATGGTTACGGGTTTCTGCATCTCTCTCCCTCTTTTCCCCCCTCCCTGTTCCTGAATCAAAAGCCTCCTGCCTCCATCAGCATTTCTTCATGGCTTTCTAATTCCTCTCCCCATCACGTTGCCTGCCTCTCTGTGTCTTACCCTTTTCTCATCCCCAGCAAAGCCACTGCAGGCCAGGGTGACCTCTCCCTGGGGTTCTCTCATCTGGCTGTCTGTGTCAGTATGGAGTGACAGGGAGCAGGATCACCATCCCAGTGTTTCCGCAAGCAAGCAGCACTCACATAGCTCACATGCCTGCCTGCAGGCTTCTCTCTGTAACGTGACATGGATAATCGTGACACAAAATAGTCACAGATATCTGCTCTTAAAATTCAGGAATGTGACAGCTAGAGACAGAATTACTATTCTGTGGCTTGAAGATGATATAGAGTATTCAGGTCAGGATAAATCGGGAAGGATATTTGCCCTACTTTCATATTCTGGCTATTAATAACCAAAAGCATGACAGATTGTGGCTCATTCTGTGCGACTGCACAAAGGAGCGATGTGGCCTCCCCCACACCTCCCCATACACATGCACAGACTAACATTTTGGCTACTGTTTGAAAGCCAATCTCAAACTCAGCCTTTGAGCTGGAAGTCAAGCCTCAAGCACATGGAGGCCCTCTTTCACCAGCACAAAAGGAGGGCCAAGACAGGCTGTAAAAAGATACAGAAGACTTATCTTTGGTCCACTGACCCAGAAATCCCACAGAATACAAGCTGCTGCTCTCCCCCTGCTCTCTTCAAGTCACAGCACAGCTCAGTTGGTTTGCACCCTGTTTGCAAACAAGCCTCCTTCTATGAAGATCTATAGGGAGATCAGAGAACATCCACCCCAGAAAGCCCAGTCACATCACTCCCAAATAGCCTCCAGATCCATTGTGCCTATACAGGATTTCAGTAGGATGAAGCAGCACTTCCTGTTCAGTACTGAAACAGTAAGAAAGCTCACACAGTTACAGAAACAAATCAAGTTGCACCTTTCCTGGCTTTAAAACAGTAAGTAAATTATGCTCTGTAATGACTTAGCACTCATCTTTTACAAATAAACGAGGCAGAATTTGTATAGTATCTCATTGCAGAATACTAACTTTTATAAGCCATCATTAAGATTTTGGAAGATTAAACACTCAGAAGCTTGAAACTCTTCCATTTTTTAAAACAGTTGTTCAAATGCCAGCTTTTGTTTTCACTTGCAAAGGAAAAAACACAGATATTTTTCAGTCCACCGAGATGGAAGAACTACCCTGACAGCTGAGACAGCTTCCCTGAATAGGATCCCTCTGCTTTTGGGAGTTGGAAAGATATTCTCTGCCATCCCTTTTGGGTCACTTATGCAATCTGCTCTAGCAACTAGTGCCAGTTCAGCTCAGCTACAGACCAGACTCTGGACTGCTTAAATGCCATTCCCTGAATCTGTCTAGGGATACAACCTTTATACTGCCATCAACCACAACACTCACAGCCTATAACTGTAAAGCATTGCTTCTAGTCCCACCAGCTACCATTTTAATTCTAGAAGTATAGTTCCCATGTGGCAATTGCACTGCATAGTGCTTATGCAGGTAGGTAAACTTTCTTTTGTCTGTGTTTCTAGACTCTAATCCTTTTTTTTTTTTTTAATTTATCAGATAAAAGGCCAAGCAAAGCAACAATAACGAGAGTAGGTCAAGTGCCAATAGCAGTGCACAAACCTTGACAACGCTCATCTTCCCCCTCCTGCTTCTCCCACAGTGCACCAGCCAAACTGTTGACTCTGATTTTACTGAGCTGACAGGAGGCCTCAGCAAATGCAGTTTGTAATCCCTGC